TTTCTTCTATCCATGAAATGCCTGAGTGAAACGACCCACGGTTCATAAACTTATCTTATCCTTGATTGTGAGAGTGAATTATAAAGTTTTTGAAACGTCGCGATCTTGCTAATTATAAATGTTATAAAAAGCGCAACAGAGAACAATTATCTCTTTTGCGAATTTATAAATTATTACTATTTATTTTTTAAATATTGAAGAAAAATTTATTTTCCTTCACAATTATCTTTTTAAATGATTTAGTATATTTTTAGATGCAAACATTTGTGGATAATATTCGGCATTTAACTTATTATTTTAAAATTCTTTTAAAATTATATAAGTTCCTGATTTCAAAATCAGAAAAAAATAATATATTTTTTTTTATTAACCCGATGAATTAACAATTATGTAAATATTATAATATTGTACTTTAATCATTTATATTTAATTGATACTTACGAAAATTAAAATAATATCGATTCCAGTGTCAATTAAATTCATTATCTTTGCTTTATAATCGCAATTATACTTATGAAGAATTTAACAATATAAAATATGCAAGCAATTTTGAGTTATAGAATGTAAAATTTTTCTCTCATCGTTTACATTATAAATTATATAAGTAGAATTGTTTCATGAAACGCGTAGTCAGTTGATATCTGTTTTATCGATTTAGATTCATCCCCTCGATATCAGAAGGACGGAATGTTAGTTGCGCTGGATTAACATTTCTACGACCTTCAAAGCAAAAGGTCAAACGTCTTCGTTTAATGCTATGTAATCTTCGCATAATACATGTCAAGATAGATTTTTTATGTAATACTGTAGTTTTGAAGTTCGATAGATGCAACGCGTCTGAATTTTATTATCCCTCAGTGGTAGATAAAAAAATATTATAGATCATAAATGTTCACTTTGTAAGGTTACAACTTTTAAAAATATTAAGAAAATGATGGGATATCTATGAACTGTTAAATATAAAACTTATTTTCTACATTTTTTTTTTTTTATTGAATTTATTTCACATATAAATTATTATTTTTATTAATTTACCTAAATTAAAAATTTATTCAAGGTATTTAGAGAATTGTGTCGGAATTGTGAAGCTGGGAAAAGAAATAATGTATCGAGAATTAACAGAAAACGTTCTTTTTATATATTTTAAACGAACTCGTACAATCTCTTATATACAATAGTCCGTTTATATCGCAGAGCGAGTATGTAATTTATACGTATATTGTATATACACACCGTATGAATATATTATGTACAATATTTATGATTTATGTAAGAAGCAGTGAACGAGTTGAAAACTTTCGAGTAGAGAGAAAGGAAGCGTCTCGAAGAGTATTTCTTTATTTATATTATAGACTGTTTTTATATATAGGTAAAGAGGCGAGAAAAAGAGAAAACTAAATCAAATAGCATGATAAATATCTGGCTATAGTAAATGTGAATATTATTAAGTAGCCAAGTAACATTACGAGGGCATACAACGTGTGAAGATAACTATCGAATAATTATCGTTTGTTAAAGACAAACAGTACTGCTGATTTTTCGATCGAGTATGATAGCTAAATCGTGTGGAAATAGAATTCGCGCAATACCTCGTTTATTCTCAATTCGTGCTTCATTAGATTCCTCATTTGTCAGTTAAAATTGCTTAAAGTTATTTACTCTACATCACTCTTGCGTATAAATCATTTGAATTTATACTAAAATTTGTTCACCTATCTAAAGAGAGATCTCAAGAGAATATTTGTATCTTATATTTTTTTTCTTGAGTAATGTACTTTCGAGTTAACTTTTTAAAGAGATTAAATATACGTACTGTTTACGCGAAATACTTTTACGTGTATTATAATTTTTTCTTTTATGTTGTGCTAAACATTATTATCTAAGTCTTATAATTTCTGTATGAAACAAAACTAGATTGAAAAGTTATCTATAAAATTGGATAAATTATGACTATTAGAAGATTAAGTAAATTCTAAAGATCTCATACTCTCTTTTACAAAACAAACTCACACTTTCTATAACTGAACGAAAAGTCATTCGCTTGAGATCCCTAGTTTCTAATATATGTATATAAATATCTTCTCTCGCGATCGATGCTCTAAGTATGCTGCCTACAACGATTACGACCGGCTAGTCGAGCTAGAGAATTCAATTGGCACTAGAACCGATACGTGATGCGAAAATTGTACCTATACGCGAGTTACACCGCTCCTAGATTGTCCGCGTAGAGCTTTCTTGGTGTTATACGCTTGAAAGCTTTTTTAATATCACATAAGAGTTTTAATTCTAACCGAAGGAGATGAAAATTTTGCGATGACTTAATGGGGAACTAGATGCGACTTTTGCGGCTTAGAAAGCGTACGCAAATTTCAGTTTGCGCCATGGTTTCGTTAAATATGAGCGTCTTGAGCAAATGTTATCGCGATAAAGAATGCTAGAGAAGCAGGAACCTCTCCATTTATAATTCGATGCTTTAATGGTGTTTCAAATTTATACTTATCCGATTCCTAATTTTGATTATTTTTAAATATTGCATTACTGTAAATTACTGTAACTAAAGTTTAGAGAGCATTGTCATTTAAAATACATCCAATTTGTCTGGTAAAAATAGCAGCGAGAAAGAATCGAGTCGGACGAAATCGTGTATAGTTAATCACAAGATGAATTCGACAAATGTTCGTGATTCAAAGACGATCGAGCGAGCGATCGTAATGGAAAGTATACTAGCAAGCTTCAAGTGGGGAATGAGTGCCAGCACATAGGGTCTATGAGAAGTTGCTACCACATGGGAGTTCTTCCATTTTAGACACCTAAAATAAGGCCGAGTAAGGATTCACAACCATACTAGATGTAAAGGATTACGATATGGTTTCCATATGCTTCGAAACAAACGTTATTTTAACCAGTTTTGTCAAATGTATCTTCATGTAATTATAAAATGCAAAATTCAGTCATCAATTAATAAAAACGAGTTTAAGTAATATACACATAAATAATTAATATTATAATAACATTTTTTTCATTTATACTGTAATTTGTTTCAAATAATTAAATTATTTAATATTTGAAATCATTTTATGCATTTTTTCAAGTATATTATAATTACAACGCAAAACTCAATCATCGACAAAAACGAGAAATATAAACTAATTAATATACTGCAGTTATAGCAAATATTTAAATTATTTAATATATTCGAACATTATTTTATAAATTCCCTATACCAAGAATTTGGAACGTTTTCTGTTTTATTTTAGAGGCATCCTTGATTAAAATTACCAATAAATTATTATCTGCATTAATTTATTTGTAAAACTTAACAATTACGTTTGACGGAATAAATGCTATTGTTGAGCGAGCATTTATAATGGTAAACAATGTCGTTTCGTAGCTTACGGAATGTAGTTCGCATGTCCCTGCAAAAAATTCAACTTAAAAGTATATCATTATATCTATGCCTATAAACTATGCGCACAATGCGTACCAGCGTCCACGTGCGTTTTATGCGTTTAACATACTCGTATATTTATATAATATATTTTCTCTTTGTCTCTCTATAGAATCCACGACGTGACTTGCGTCCGCATACAAAATTCGTAACAACTCTTATATCGATTTCGAATAGAATTATGATCGGTAATATTCACAGGCTTATAACTTACAGCCTAGTCTTAACCTATGTTACTTGGTGCGGAAGCGGATTTTAAAAGCAAACCGCGTCACTTGCTCCACTTCTCTTCTCCATAAAGCACTTTCACAATTTCCACTCAATACATTGCCTTTGTACTCTTTTCAATACTTGCAATACACCTCCTAGATCGCTTTTCTGATAGGGTTTCTTCAGAAAGTACATAATCTCATTTTTAATTAAAATTTTTTAATTATTAATTTTATCCTACTTTTACGAGGTAAAAATCTTTTCTTATATAACGCTACATCGGAGAGAATTTAAAAGTATACGCGAAAGCAGCCATTGCTCGATCTACTTACAATTAGAAAAAAAATCACAATAGGATCAGGCATGAAGGGCGATTAAAACATTAACAGTTTTAAAAAATCACGTAATTTAGTGTAACGAGTAACGCGATTAGCCTAATAGGAGTCCGCATTGGAATTTATTTCTTCAGCTCGATGAAGAGTGAAGATACATATATTGCACTTAGCGTCGAACCACGGGCTCGTACTGCTTTGATCGATATTTGACTATCGACTTATCGTCACAAGGGCAGCTTATGTGACTTCAGTCGTAAATTCACGGCTACGTAGCTTAATCTAAACCCGATGCTGCTGCAAAACCTAATCTCTGTGCCGTTTAAAAACTATCGTACTGGTTCAACTTTTATCACGTAAGTAGGAAGGCGCGCCTTTATCACGATTGAGCTCGAAACACACGGAAATTCATCGTTATCATTTCGTAACTATACTTCATTTGAAATTATTTTCGTAATTAATTTCTACAAGATTTTAAAATGCGCAACTACACTAATGAATAATTTAGCAAGCCTCAACGTATCGCATTAGTATTCAATGTATTTATTAATTAAATTAATCGTTAATGTGTCACTGCGGTTTCGCGTTAATGCGTAATATTATTTTCTGACATTGCCGCATGTTTCGACCCATATTCTCTCAAAACTCGCATGGAATACTGATAGATAATTCAAAAGTTCGAGTTTTCATATTCATGGCTCACTTGACATCATAAATTTAAGATATAAATACTTTGCGCAAACAATTCTTCCGATTGTTGAATCGTCAAATAAGTTTGACATTACATTTCTTTCGAATAAGTGCATATATATAACTAATCTCGGTGCGATTGAAATATCAAGAAGAAGACACAGAAAGAGAGAAATATTTTTGTACCATATGAACCTAAGAATGTTTTATTTAATTGAAAGCACGAGTCGAATTAAGAGGATAAAAAGATCGGATGTAGCGTTTAAGCACTCTAAGACTTTTTCTGAGTAAATTCGATAAAAATCGATAACAACGAGATCCATTTCCTCACCCTTCGTTAATTTTTCTAAGTGGTATTGCTCGATCGCTTAAACTTAGAAAGTAAAGTACGCTGGAGCCATTCGGATATGATTTTACTGGGATCACTCCCGTGCCGGGGGGTGAGCCCTTGGTAGCAGTCAGTATTCCTCTTCGTCTTCCTCGAATTCGTCCTCTGCCAAGATGCTGTAAGAGTAAAAAAAGTCACTCAATTACAGACATGAAAAGAAGAATATAAAAATTACAAGATGAATGGAGGAATTACTTTGATAATTGCGAAATTCTGCGAATCATATAATGTCTAAAAGCTAAAAATTCAAAGAAAATGTGTGTGACATAATTTTAAAAAACGAATTTATCAACGCTCGATCTTTCATTTACAATTATCGAGTATTTTTCTCGACATAGACAATCGTAGCGATCGTATGGTGACTTCAAAGTAATTCCGTAGAATAAAATTTCTGCTAGCCCGTACCGGACACTGCATACATACACTTACTCTTCCTTTCTAGCATACTTGTCCATGAGATTGCGACTCGATCCGCCACAGGTCTTGTTGATCGGTGGACAATACCAGTAGCACAACACACCGAGCGTCGTAGCGAACAGTACTATGGGCACGATCAAGGCCAACACCAAATGCCTCAGATTCTCATCCCATGAATACCTGCAAACACATGATAGTAAAGCTATGCTCTTTACTAATAAGAAATTAGCGATTGTGCAAACCAAATATATGGTTTCTTTTTTTTTTTTTAAATAAAAGCACAGTCATGAAGCTAATTGATATTACGATATTATCAATGATTTCTTCAAACTTGTGTCCCGATTAAAAATTGTAGCATTACGGCATTGTTCAGTATTTATATTTATATTTGGACGATTAATTGTGTAACTATCAGTACCACAATTTTTAGTACCCGTAACAGTTTGAAGAAATCGATATTATATAATAATTAGTTTCGTGATAGTATACTTAAAGGAGCCCCTTTTTATACGAGAAACATACAGGGCACTATGTTTTGCATTAAGGATTGATAAATTCATACATACATCTCACTGATCGTACCTTGCGACAACTATCTCCGGATGTGTTCTACTGTAATAACAGGGAAATATCTTCCCCATATTTGCATAGGCGTATTTCTTGGCGAAAATAGAACAGTTAACTGTGGGCGGATAGCCGCATCCTTCAGTGTTCACAAAGAACTTGGTATCGGTGACGTCCCATGGTACTGAACCCAATGGCTTCGCTGTGAATTCCTCATACGGGAGTCTGGTGTAGTTGACTTTGATTTGATGACAACGAAGCGCAGCGCTGGTACAACCTAGACAATGATATATATATGATCGATTACATTCGGTTACACGTGTGAAACGCGAATATATAATAAAAGGGATCGAGGAGTCACCTTCTCTGCAGCTCGCCCACGAACAGTTCTTCAATCCCTCCGCGTACACGTGCTCCGTCGTGACGCAGGCGACAGCATGCGGCGAGAAATCCGCCAGGATGGTGGTTATCGCCGGCTCGACGACAAACGGGATCAAAAACAGGAAGGCGAAAACCGCAAGGATTGCTGTAGTGCCCATGCAGACCGATGTGTAAAACTTGGCCTTCTCGATCATGGCGCCGATCTTGGACTCCTCCACCTGGACGCCCATTATCACCGTCGATTCGTCAGAATCAATGATGACGGCTTTTTGTGGGTCACGAGGACCCTACTCGTGATTTACTTAAAAGTTTCTCAAAAGATACGTATGTACAGCCACGATTTGCGTGGCCGCGATTCAGAGCTCGTCCGAAAAAAACGTGCTTATGGTCCACTTACAACATCTCGATTCACACTGAAAATTCTCTCCTTCTTGTTCGATGGCTGCAGCGGGAGAAGAAATAATTTTCCACGAACGAGGAGCGAAATATTATATCTATAACGCAGGCTGATTAAGCAATCTTGATAAAAATAATTTGATTTATTTAAGAATTAATCTAAAATCTTATAAAATTGGGCAAGATATAACACGAAGATAATCACATAACAATTATTCAAGAATCAACTTTTTAGCTGTAAATAGGACTTATGGGTAGAAAACTTGAATACATGAAGCTTCTTGAGATAAAGATCTTCGAGTAGGCCGACTTTTGTCGATATTTTTAGATTGTTCACGTTGTCGTTCGCAGTTCTGGCGATTATAATGTAGTAGTTAAATAAGCAAGGCTTCAGAACTCGTCTCGAGTCAATCATCCATCGGCAAGGCGCGCCTCTTGGCTGTTAAACTTTAGCTATTGGTCGCGGCAAATCAATCAGAAAAGGGGAACCTCTTAAAAGCTACGAATGTCACGTGCGTAAAACGCCAAAATCGAGTAAATCTTCTTTCTTGAACCGTTATTTCCTTCTGAACGAGAGAATCGTGCAGTAATATACGTTCGTGACAACATCTTCTCGTGTCACATAAGCATGCGTGTACGATTTTTCAAATATTTAGTGCAGGCAGTGCGAGTAGATAAATTCTTCTTGATCTCTTTGTTGTCTGACTACCTTTTTTCGCTTCGGTTTCTTGGTACTTTTGCGGGAATGTGTACGTGTTGCGTTTTTTGTTTTATTAAATTGCAAGATGAGAATTTTTATCACGCGTTCCCCCCCTCCCCACACCTCAGTAATGCCCGCGCAGGGAGAATATCGACTGACGAGCCGGACTCTCCTCCAGGAGGGGAATGCCTGTTAACATAACATTAAAATCTATATTGCAACATTAATAAAAGTGATTATAATTGTCTATCAGTAAACAGCTCGCGGATTTTTCTTTTCGAATTTAATGAGCTTTGGCTTTGTAGACTAGATCAAGATAAATAATAGTCTCTTATACATTTATTCTAATGCAGATTTAATTGTATGATATATTTATTTAAAGTTATTTAAAAATATTAGTATATAAATTCACGCGAAATTATATATAAGCAATTAAAGATCCAAACTATGCTCTTATAGGCTTCGTATTCGTATTAGCTACGTTCGTACATTGACGGTCTTTAGATTTGAATATTGTTTATTTAAAAATATTCTTCTAAAGTAGTCAAATAAAAAACATTTGTTCAAATTCCATTCAGTATTCTCAATCGTAATAATGTCGACCAAGTTTTTAATCTGCGGATTGTAAAATAAGGGAATATAATATTACGTCGTATCTCTCAAGCCTGAAACAAACACATCTTCAATACGACAGCATTTCTGAACAAATTAATCCTCTAACAGCGAGTGTTGCATATTTGCAACATTCACACTCCGATCATAGATGTGTATGAATGTATTGCAAAATTTGGAATCTATGCAGTTCAATTACACTTAAGAATTGAGGATACAGAAAAAAGTGTAGCGCATTGAACGTTGGAAATATCATAATTGATCAATCGATAAATTAAAAAACTCGCCCTGTAATACTTCTTCAAAGATACCAGAATGTTTACGGGTTATCGCCATATTTTTATCAATTGCTAATGCCAACGTTTCGTAAATCTTGCTGTTCACTTTATCAGGACGAGGAGCGCTCTACATATGTGTGTGTGTGTGTGTGTGTGTGTGTGTGTGTGTGTGTGTGTGTGTGTGTGTGTGTGTGTGTGTGTGTGTGTGTGTGTGTGTGTGTGTGTGTGTGTGTGTGGTGTGTGTATGTGTGTGTGTGTGTGAAACGTTGGCATTAGCAATGTATAAAAACACGGCAATACCTGCAAACTTTCTGGTATCTTTGAAGATGATATCCGTGAAAGCCTTTGAAAGTATTACAATGCCTCTTACTGCCAAAAGAGCTATACGTCGATAAATTGAGACATCAATAGACTCGTCACTTACAAGATTTTTTAGAAGAATTAATTTTAAAAAGTTTTTTGAATAATATAATATACATATATATGTATAATGCCGCTAAAGGATTAAATTTATTCTTATATCATTATACACACACTAACACAATCGCTGATATTAGTTTATTTACAAACAAAAATTTAATCAAAACTGAAAATATATACATACTTTTTTATTATGATAGATGACAAATGATACAACACATACATTTAAAATTAAACGTTTTGCATACATGAATGTTAAATGCGCATTTGCTGTTTTAATCCCTGTAACATTTGTATCCAGAAAAAATGTATTTCTTACACTGATATGTATATATATGTATACTCTACAACTCTACACATATCCAAAGCTCGTGTTATCTTTCCTTGATGGAAAGATAACAAGAAAATATTTTAGAGAGAGTAATGAGCACATTGGAAAAATAATTCAATTCACATATATTACTTTAGATCTGATTTTATTAAAATTACAGTATCTTCATGCCATGCCATTTAAAAATGGTTTAGATTTATAAACTAAGAAATTTGCACAATGACAAGAATTATTATAAAAGTTATAATAGTTACTAAACAATTATAAAAGTTATTATTACTACAACGATCGCGCAAAATGATTAACTTCTATCTAATGAGAGAAAAAAGAAAAGAAAAGAGAAGGAGGTATGATTTTGTGTGGATGATTGTATTATCGAAGAGTCGGATGAAAATTAGATAAAATTAATTTATAAAAAAAAATATTAAAAAGTATACAAGACAAGAGGAATCGAATAAAACACCTTTTGTAATGTAAAAGAGCTGATTAGAAGGCGATGTAACTAATTATAACACCATGCCTTAGAACGCAACTATTTTCTGCCGAAAACATGTCTTACGTGACGGATCTCAGAGCGCCATAACGGAGTCTCCTCCGCCAGCATCCCCTAAGTTGCCCGACGCGCTTCTCTCTATCGAGACCAGCGTGCCGGGCGTGCCCTTGAACCTCATTTTAGCGTCGTCCCCGACGACGACTGTCCTCTGACAGAAGATCAGAGTCAGACAGCTGACGACAAACAGAATACTCGGCAGCAACAGCGCAATCAAGAACTCTTTATAAGTTGTTTCTAGATTGAACCGTGACACGACAACGCCCGTGTTATCTTCGGCGTAGTAACACGGGAATCTAGCACGCGCGTTATGATCGGACCCGTCCTTCCCGTACTCGTGAAGGAATTCTTTGCACTCATCCCGAAGCGTGTTCACGCATCCCTCGAGGTTGATCAACAATTTACTCTCGTTGGCGATGATCAGGCTCTGCTCCGGCGGTGCGACTAGCTTGTCGTTGTCCAGCGGTTTCGTGGCGAATATATTTAAGTAGGACAAGTACGTGAAATTCGTCAGATCGGTTAGCAGATCTTTCTCTAGCACGGAACCGTTGATACAATCCACCGCCTCCACGCCCAACGTGGAATTAAAAATCCCGTAGCAGGAGGCCATCATGATGTCACCACGATCTTCGTGCCATATCTCTCGATTGGTTGCCACGTCTATAGCTCGTTCGCACTGGCTCAAGTACACTTTGTCGCCGCTGAGAAGGATCATATTCTTATTTCTAGTTGGAATATCGACGCACCTGCGATCGCAATTGTACGGGGTGCGTATGCGCTCGCAGGTGCCGCGATTACAATTGAAAAGGCCGTCTATGTCGATACAGGTGATCTTGCCACGACGACCTGAACACTTCAAGGGCGGATCCGTGTCGTGGAACATGCACTCGAAGGCATCGGTGATGTTGATGCAGATGCCCGAGGAACAGTTGAATGTACCGGTCAGATTGCGACACTCGTCCGCGATGCACTTTGACTTCTTCGCGTTCTCCTGATCGATACCGTAACAAGTCTTATTCGTTGTGTTTGTACAGTTCGCTAGTAGAATCGTGGATCCGTTTCTGCGGAGATTCACGTGAATCTGCACACAAGGCCCGGAGGTCTTGGACAGACACCATTCGCCACAACTACCCCACTCACAATTGTCAGCGTTCACCGCTCGAATTGTTGTGCACATCACGGGCACTTCGCTGATGCCCGATTGGAACGCCCGTCCACTGGGCATGTAGATCGCGACCGTCAGATACACCAACGCGACCGAGGATAGCACCATAGTCATTTGACAGATGCAGATCGTGCCGCAGATGCGGCCATCCTGCGGTGGTATCACCAGGTTCTCCACCGGAACTGGCTTCGGCATCTTGCTCCGATTAAATTAATCGCTCGCCAATCGATTGTCTACGTACACTTGTTCATCTTACGTGGTTAAAGGCGTAACTGGTGTTTGTTAGATAAACGCGTTATTTATATTCACTTGAATAGATTAGAGAAGACTCGACAATGATTTAACAATTGTTTAGAGTCCATAAATTAATCGAAGGTTTTCCGTATTTTTCATCAACAATCTTGTCAGTATTTGTAAAAGAAAGAGATCACTCTTGAGTTCTCTAACATCCTGATAAGATATGCCAAAAGCTTCAAATTGTCCATATCATTGTTACTGCATGACTTATTATGTAAGTCAAAATTGCACTCTTATCGATAAGTTCCACGACACTCGTTGCTGAATGGAAAACGCGATAGTTATTTTAACAAAAACAGTTCTATTAGATTCTCGAGCGTTTCACTAAAAATTAAGCGATTAATATTGCTGCACTACATCTCGTCGCGAGGACCGTTCGTCGCAACATTCCGTACCACATCACAAACACGACGCGGCGTTGAAACTGAAACACGATTCGGCCTTCTACCTTTACGTTATACTTTTCGCAATATCGCGAATTCATCGAATCCCGCTTCACGCAGAAGTACGAGTTTGCGTTTGCATCATCGGCATTCCACGTCAGAGGTTTCCACGCGCTTAAAAGTCTCTTTCCTTTTTACCGCAGGACGAGTCTACCCGCGCGCATGTTCTGTCCTGGTCCTCGTGTAATGTGCGCCGACAGCACCCTCGCGCGAAGACGCACATTGATCGCGGTGCCGCGCGGCTGCGCGTCGTCGGACTGCAACGATACCGTGCGCGTTACCGCAATTGACGTCATGTATACTACGAAGACGTTTA